ACTTTTGTTATAGAGAAAGATCTAAAACAGTAAACACTAAGGCTTTTTATAGTGGTGAGTTTTAATAGTAGTAGTTCCTGGATAATAACTATTTGGGTTTTTTTAATTTGGTTGGTTGTTTTTGGGTTTTTGTTTTTGTTAATCCTCACTTGAGGTTATTTTTTCCATTGATTTTTTTGAAAGTGGAAGGGAAGGGGGAGGGGGAGAAGGAGAGAGAGAGAGACATCGAAGTGAGTGAGACACTTCCACATTAGCATATAACTTAACTTTCAGGGCATAAAAATTATAATTAATATCTAAATTATTCACTAAGGTTCTTCTTGGAAAATTTGCTACTTGAGTTCTTTATGTTACATTTAACATTAATTTTCTTTATTGCATACTTTGTGATGTCATACTTAAGAGCACTTAGTTATACATTATGATAACCATCGTGTTTATGTCCTGAACTCAATCATGCATTACTTCTGGTTTTGCATGGAATTTCAGCATGCCCTTACTATCCAGTGTAATATAATGAACAATTAATAAATAAACAGAAAAGGAAGCAGCCCTAGCCAGTTTGGCTCAGTGGATAGAGCGCCGGCCTGTGGACTGAAAGGTCCCAGGTTCGATTCCAATCAAGGGCACATGCCAGGGTTGCGGGCTTGATCCCCAGTAGCAGGCAAGCAGGAGGCAGCCGATCAGTGGTTCTCTGTCAACATTGATGTTTCTATCTCTCTCTTCCTCTCTGAAATCAATAAAAATATACGTTAAGGCCCCACTGTATTTGAGAAAAGAAAGCAGATTTGCATAGTCTTGTAGCAATCTAAGTTTAATATTCATGGAGATACACAATTATCACTTATTTAAAGCATCTAATTCTGTATGAGAATTACAAAGCTCAGAACATTTCCCCATTAGCATATAACTTAAAATTTTGAATCAGTCATGAAGTTTAAATAAAAAATAAGCAACAGCTTCGTCCGAGTAGTAAAAATCTTGTGGTGGTTCCCTGAGACATGTGCCTTTAATTTCAAGTAGGGAAGGAAGGGTAAGATAGCAAAGGAACATAATCTCAGAAAGTGAAATTGTTTGGCAATTGGGGGCCTGAAATATGAGGAATAGAGTTTGACAGTCATATGATTTGAGATCTGCATATTCTAAAGTATGGTCAGAGTTAGGGTTATTTGCAAAAGTCTTTGAGTGATTGCAACAAAATTTAGTTAACCAGAATTCTTAGTAATTCTTTTAGTGTGCATCAATGAGTTTTTATGGAAGACTTCATGTTTTAAAGAATGTTGAAATTTCAGTTTTTTTTACTCTCAATATTTAATTCCTGATAATTGAGATTATTCTTTTTTTTTAAACAAACATATTGAGCACTTTCAATCTAGGAGATTAAACAACTAGCTATGTGGCCTTAGTCTATTTTTCTTTCTTTAAAAACTAGTTATTTACAGGAACCATAAATTTTCATCAAATTTGGACACTTTTGAAAGAGAAGAAAAGTACTTTTAATGTTTATTTTTAGGGCAACAAAGTCATACAGTGGGGCCTTGACTTACTAGTTTAATTCGTTCCGTGATGGAGCTCATAACTCAAATTACTCGTATGTCAAATCAGTTTTCACCATTACAATGACATGTGATGCTGGGCTGATGTTGTGGTGTTCACTGTGATGTTCACTGCGCCAACTAGCAGTGGGGTATCTGAAGCTGGCTCGTAACCCGAATTTTAGCTTGCAACTCAAAGCAAAAAATCGACCGAGAGACGGCTTGTATCTCAAAAAACTCGTTAGTTGGGACACTGGTAAGTCAAGGCCCCACTGTATGTGATTGTACCAGGCCAGCTATATCAGAGTGGTTGTGAGAATTAAATATAAAATATTGTAATAAATGTTTTTAGTACACAAAGAATTATTATTCCCTGAAAATGTCCTTATCCTACTTTCAAGAAATTATGTTTCATCTATTTCTCTTACAGAGTTCTTGTCAGACAAAATGTGATGACTCTAAAGAATTACTTTAACTGTCTTAATTTAGCTCACCAAATATTTATTGCCTGCTTACTGTGTGCTAGACACTGGGTATCCATATATATAAAAAGCCAGGGGCCGTGACGACCAAAACAACCTGTCGCCATGAGGTGGCATTGACTGGCGTGCAGGCTGAACTGCTGACCTCTCGATCCTTTCCCCCGGCTCCCATGGGCAGCAGGGGCTCCCTCCCGCCTCCTGCGGGCGCTGGTGGCTCCCACCTGCCTCCAGCGAACCGCCTGATGGGGCCGGCCAACCTCCCATCATGATCAAGAGTGGGCTGCACAGAGCCTGGGCCCTTCCTGGCAGCCCCGAGTCCCTGGGGTTGAGAATTCTGATGGCTCTGCCCAGAGAGCAGGCACCTGACGGGCAGGGACAGGGACCACAGGCCTCTAGGGAGCACCGCAGAGTTGGCAAGGAGAGGAGAGGGCCTGTGGAGGCGGGAGGAGGTGAAGCCAATGGGCATCAGCTCAGAATCCAGCCCTTCCCCCTGGAGGCAGCGGGCCCTCAACCCAGAACCCCAGCCCGAATCAGAAGAGCCCGAGGGAGGCTTCAGGGAGCTCTATGCAGAGCTGCCCATTGAGAACGAAGGACTTCGTGAGGCCCTGACCCAGACCACGCTGCTGGCTGGCGCAGCTCAAGGTAGAGCTGGAGTGTGCCATGCAGAGGCAGGAGTGCTTTGCAGAGAGGCCGGCCCTCCTGGAGCTGGAGAGATTTGAGTGTAGCGCCCTGGAGCACAAGGCTCCTGAAGAGGAGCTGAAGGGCCTGTCCAACCTCCAGGCTGACAATCAGTGTCTCAAGGACAAGAACATAGCCCTGATCCGTGTCATCAGCCAACTGTCCAAATGACCCCGGAGGTCTTGCCCCTGCACCCGCATTTACACAGCTGCTTCTGCCACACGCACCCTTCCCCCTGTGTGAACACGAGTGACAGGGCTGCCGGGGAGTCTCTGAGAAGCATAACCTCCCCTTGGGACCTCCAGGCTGGGAGGGGAGGACAGAGCCCCCAGGAGCCAATGGGGCCATTGAGGCCAGGATGGAGAAGGAGGGCTGAGCCAGATATGGGGACCAGGGCTGCAGGCAGGACCAGGAAGGAGCCAAGGACCAGGAAGTTCCAGGACCAGTAGCCAGGACCAGAGTGGCCACCTGGAGGTTCCCTCTCATGTTTGCTGCCACCAGTCACCCCTTCCGCCCTGAGCAGGGATCCAAGAATGTGCCAAGCATCCGACCGGCCTGGGCCGCATGGGCCTGCATATAGGGTCTGTGTGCAATAGGGAGGAATGTCTTCTATTTTTTACTGCCCCCTCCCCAATGCAGTTGGGGGCAATCAGGCCAGCAGGGGAGCAGTTAGGTGTCGATCAGGCTGGCAGGGGAGTGGTTAGGGGGCAATCAGGCTGGCCGGCAGAAGCAGTTAGGGGCAATCAGGCAGGCAGGCAGGTGAATGGTTAGGAGCCAGCGGTCCCGGATTATGAGAGGGATGTCCCAGATTGGAGAGGGTGCATTCCGGGCTGAGGGACAACCCCGCCCTCGGGCTCTCCCAGGCCCGGTGCTCACTATTTGAATCACACTGGATTTTTATTTAAATGCATGAAAATGAAAATGGTATCTTTGAAAAATAGGTATATTCTTCTAGAAATCAAAACTACATAATTTAATATAAATTGTTCAGGATTTGAGTATGAATTTCTGTGTAGTATATATGTGTTTACTTAAATTTATAAATACAGATATATATATATACTAGAGGCCCGGTGCACAAAAATTTGTGCACGGGGTGGGGTGGGGGTCCCTCAGCCCGGCCTATGCCTTCTCGCAGTCTGGGACCCCTCAGGGGATGACCACCTGCTGGCTTAGGCCTGCTCCCCAGAGAGCGGGCCTAAGCTGGCAGTCAGACATCCCTCTGGCAGCCCGACAGTCCTCGGGGGATGTCCACTTGCAGCGGGGAGCAGACCTAAGCTGCAGTCAGACATCCTTAGCGCTGCTGAGGAGGCAGGAGAGGCTCCCACTACCACCACTATACTGGCAGCCATCAGCCTGGCTTGT